AATACAAGGTGAGTTTTTTTTTTTTTTGGATATTTTAAGTTAATAACATCCTATTAACACTAGTATTAACATCATTCAATCTTTGAAACCCCTTGAAATCTTTCAAGTTGTTCATGAACACCAAATTTCCCAAACATTGAATTTTTAAGGAAAAGCTTCGGGAAGGTAATACTAATGCTTTAAGCTCATTTCTTATGAGTCGGTGAGAGTAATTCTAATATTTGTTTCAAGTTGTTATGGTTGAATAATTAATTTCATAAACCCTAGTTCATGGCATGAATAGTGTTCTTGAGAAAATGAAGGAGAGATAAATAGTATTTTTAGAAATGAAACTAATTGATGCAATGAACCTATGGAATCATTTTCTAGCTTAGTTGGAAGTGTTCAACTATGTAATCACCAAATTGAATATTTTGGAAATGTTGGTTAAGGAAGACGATGAATAGTAATTTGGCGGTGTTGGAGAATTAATGCAGTATCATTGATGACTTCATATGGGTATTAAATGATAAGAGTGAAGTTGAATGTGCTAGTAAGTGAACCTATTAGACGATTTGAGCCGGAGGCTTGTCACCAACTTGTGAGCCATAAATGGATATTGATAAATATTTTTGAGTCATATTTTGATTGTAATTGAGATTGTAATTGTAGATATCAATTTGTTGGTGGTGTATGAGAATTTTGCTCAATGTTACGATGTCAGAGGAGGATTAAAAGCCTATGACTGTTAATAAAGCGAAAGTGTGTTTTGGAGCGTTGGGCATCGATCGAGTTGTTTGAAAGGCTTGGAAGCCGGCTATGGAACTTCGGAGCGAGGTAAGTCTCCTTTCTAACCTTGTAAGAGAGAATTAACCCCATAGGTGAACTAAATTATTACGTTATTCTATTTGTGGGGGCTACGTACGCACGAGGTGACGAGAGTCCGTACGTAGCTACTAACTATGCCTATGTCCGGGTAGTTTTAAGCCTACAACATGTCTTGTTGCTATTGTTACCGATTTATGCGTTATTGTTTGCCTTGAGAAATAGTGGGATTGAGTTGCTTACTAAATGGTTTTGAAAGGAGTTGAAATTGTTATAAAAATTTTGATCTTAAAGGTTTTCATTTGAACCTCGTATTTTGAAAAGAATGGAAGAATACTATAATAACTTAAGAAATCTATGTGTAACCGTGTAGTTTGTATTATTCGCGAGCGGGGAAATTCTTTATATTTATATTTGTCCACATCGCATGTATGATTCGCGAGCAGGGTAATTCTTTATATTTATGTTTGACCACGTCGCATGTATGATTCGCAAGCGGGGTGATAGATGCATCTATGGTTCACGTCGTTCCACCCTCGACAGTGCACAATTGACATTTATATTGGTTCCGGCCGAACGTCCTCGGTGGTATTTGTATGTGATAACAGACTGGAAGTCCGTTTTTTATAATTGGTATAAATTCATTGTTTGTGTGGTTATGTGTTTTAAAAGAAGGAAGTGGTTTAAGTTGTTAAATATGGTGAGGACTTGTTCAGTTATTTCTTATTCTTTGTTTTAATGTTGTATAGCATGCTTAATTGAAATGCCATATTATCATATTGTGGGCCTTAGTAAGTGTCGAAGTCGACCTCCCGTCACTACTTCTTCGAGGTTAGGCAGGATACTTACTGGGTACGCGTTGTTTTTGTACTCATACTACACTTGTTGTACATTTTGTTGTACATGCACATGTATGTCTAGTGGCCTTGTGGGCGCAACGACGTGGTTGATACGAGGACTTAGGTGAGTTGCATCTTATGAGACGATCTGTAGCCAGCAGAGTCTCCATAAGAGTACTTGTATCATTCTTTTCTGTCCAAATTTGTATTCCAGGACAGTTACAGTATTTTATTTTATTTCCTAGTAAATACTCATGCAGTCGAGACACTGGGTTCTGGGATGACTAGGGGATATTCAGTATTGAAAGTGGATAATATTAATATTTATTTTGTAAAGTTCACATTTTACTAGTTAAATTGGAGGAAATTTATGATTTTAAAAATATTAAAAATGAGAATTCAACTGACTATTTAGTGTCGCCTTGGTGTCCGGCACCATCACGACATTTAGCATATTTTGGGACGTGACAGTGACCAAGTCACTTCGAAACCTTCCTAGAACCAAACTAACCACCCCGGGAAGTCACAAAACCACTAATGAACATAAAAGAGAAATAAATAAGGGAACA